CCCCCCCCCCCCCCCCCCCCCCCCCCCCCCCTACTGTTGGCGCCATTTACATCCTGTATTATAATTCCATCCCTCTACTCCTAGGACGGTGTACTCGGCGCTCAGCATACACCCATCATACCACACCCCCTGACAGCCTCAGCTCCTCCCCCTCCTGCGCTCATTACCCCCGCCCAGCACACATGCTATCGCTGGCAGTGCGGGCTCCGCCCCATGTCCAGACGTCAGGTCCGGCTCCTCCCATCGCCCCTGACCGGTGTCTTCCGTAGAGCGGAGAGGGGTGAGCTGTGTACCGGGAAAGGGGGGGGGGTCATGTGACCTCCGTGTACCGAGAATGATACAGAGTGTTACATTGTATCCTCTCCTCATACCGGAAGTATAAAGGGGCGGGGACTGGAGCGGGGCGCGCGGCAACCAATCACAGCTTCGGCTTCTTCCAGTAAGACTGGGAAATGAGAGCTGGAAGTTGATTGGTTGTCCAGGTTTGCTGACCTCCCTCCAATGAGAATGTTGTATATTGTGTGATTTCATTATTGTTACCTCAGGTGTGGTCTGCAGCCTTTATTATAGTAATCCGGAGGCAGGGATCCTGCCATGATGGCCACTTCCTGTTCCAGGGTGACAACACTCCGCACCGGCCCTCACAATCCTCTCCTGCGTTGTCACCCTGCCATGCTCTGTACTGGACGCTTCTCATATCTGGGGATGTGTGTGGTGAAGGAGGGAACTCGTGTGTTAGGGGTGTATGCCCCAAAATGTACCACCCTGACTGTGAGTCATGCTCAGTACAGTGCTCAGACGCCGAGTCTTTCAGCCCATTGTAGATGGGGATTGGCTGCCCGCAGTGGGGTTGGAAACAGCAGGATTTCATGCCGGGGGGCCACACCACCCTGCGAGGGGTGAGCCGAACATCTGAGTCATTGTTGGGGGGAGGGGCTGACCTTCTGAGTCATTGTTTGGGGAGGGGCTGACCTTCTGAGTCAATGCTGGGGGCTGAAAGATGTGCTGCTGAGAGAATGACAAGCTTCATTCCTTCTGCTGTGAATTTTGAGAATGAATTCTCTTCCCACTCAGAGCCTCTGCTCTAGGTTTACCTGGAAGCTGAGCCACTGCTGGGAGGGGGGAGCAGGGAGGTCTGCAGTGTCACTGCTGGGAGGGGGGAGCAGGGAGGTCTGCAGTGTCACTGCTGGGAGGGGGGAGCAGGGAGGTCTGCAGTGTCACTGCTGGGAGGGGGGAGCAGGGAGGTCTGCAGTGTCACTGCTGGGAGGGGGGAGCAGGGTGAGCTGCGGTGCCACTGCTGGGAGGGGGGAGCTGTGGTGTCACTGCTGGGAGGGGGGAGCAGGGTGAGCTGCGGTGTCACTGCTTGGAGGGGGGAACTGTGGTGTCACTGCTGGGAGGGGAGAGCAGGGAGGTCTGCAGTGTCACTGCTGGGAGGGGGGAGCAGGGTGAGCTGTGGTGTCACTGCTTGGAGGGGGGAGCTGTGGTGTCACTGCTGGGAGGGGAGAGCAGGGAGGTCTGCGGTGTCACTGCTGGGAGGGGAGAGCAGGGAGGTCTGCGGTTTCACTGCTGGGAGGGGAGAGCAGGGCGAGCTGCGCTGTCACTGCTGGGAGGGGAGAGCAGGGCGAGCTGCGCTGTCACTGCTGGGAGGGGAGAGCAGGGAGGTCTGCGGTGTCACTGCTGGGAGGGGGGAGAGCAGGGAGGTCTGCGGTTTCACTGCTGGGAGGGGAGAGCAGGGCGAGCTGCGCTGTCACTGCTGGAAGGGGAGAGCAGGGCGAGCTGCGGTGTCACTGCTGGGAGGGGAGAGCAGGGCGAGCTGGGTGACTGCTGGGAGGGTGTCAGCTGCGGTGTGGGAGGGAGAGCAGGGCGAGCTGCGGTGTCACTGCTGGGAGGGGAGAGCAGGGCAAGCTGTGGTGTCACTGCTGGGAGGGGAGAGCAGGGCGAACTGCGGTGTCACTGCTGGGAGGGGAGAGCAGGGCGAGCTGCGCTGTCATTGCTGGGAGGGGAGAGCAGGATGAGCTGAACCCTCAGCTTTTATGCCCACTAGATGGAGATGATGATCACATGATATCAAAGTATTAAAGTGGAGCTCCAGGGTCCCCCCAAAAATTCCTGCATCTGCTGACTTTTCCTGTCCAGGGGTCCAGTGCCGTCCTCATCCGGGCAAGTTCCTCACTAGCCTGCGGGTTCCCGGCATCGGCATTGCAAGTAAGGGAAACCACTTTTGGGCGGATCTCCGCTTTAAGCAGGTGGCGAGGGTGGAGGTTCGTCCAACAAATTTTTTTTTTACAGAAAAGTTTTGCCTGAAGAGGTGTTGATAGAATCCTGTGTCCTGGTTGGTGTCATGATAGAATCCTGTGTCCTGGTTGGTGTCAGGATAGAATCCTGTGTCCTGGTTGGTGTCAGGATAGAATCCTGTGTCCTGGTTGGTGTCATGATAGAATCCTGTGTCCTGGTTGGGTGTCAGGATAGAATCCTGTGTCCTGGTTGGTGTCAGGATAGAATCCTGTGTCCTGGTTGGTGTCAGGATAGAATCCTGTGTCCTGGTTGGTGTCAGGATAGAATCCTGTGTCCTGGTTGGTGTCAGGATAGAATCCTGTGTCCTGGTTGGTGTCAGGATAGAATCCTGTGTCCTGGTTGGTGTCAGGATAGAATCCTGTGTCCTGGTTGGTGTCAGGATAGAATCCTGTGTCCTGGTTGGTGTCAGGATAGAATCCTGTGTCCTGGTTGGTGTCAGGATAGAATCCTGTGTCCTGGTTGGTGTCAGGATAGAATCCTGTGTCCTGGTTGGTGTCAGGATAGAATCCTGTGTCCTGGTTGGTGTCAGGATAGAATCCTGTGTCCTGGTTGGTGTCAGGATAGAATCCTGTGTCCTGGTTGGTGTCAGGATAGAATCCTGTGTCCTGGTTGGTGTCAGGATAGAATCCTGTGTCCTGGTTGGTGTCAGGATAGAATCCTGTGTCCTGGTTGGTGTCAGGATAGAATCCTGTGTCCTGGTTGGTGTCAGGATAGAATCCTGTGTCCTGGTTGGTGTCAGGATAGAATCCTGTGTCCTGGTTGGTGTCAGGATAGAATCCTGTGTCCTGGTTGGTGTCAGGATAGAATCCTGTGTCCTGGTTGGTGTCAGGATAGAATCCTGTGTCCTGGTTGGTGTCAGGATAGAATCCTGTGTCCTGGTTGGTGTCAGGATAGAATCCTGTGTCCTGGTTGGTGTCAGGATAGAATCCTGTGTCCTGGTTGGTGTCAGGATAGAATCCTGTGTCCTGGTTGGTGTCAGGATAGAATCCTGTGTCCTGGTTGGTGTCAGGATAGAATCCTGTGTCCTGGTTGGTGTCAGGATAGAATCCTGTGTCCTGGTTGGTGTCAGGATAGAATCCGTGTCTGGTTGGTGTCACGATAGAATCCCGTGTCCGTGGTTGGTGTCAGGATAGAATCCCGTGTCGTGGTTGGTGTCACGATAGAATCCCGTGTCTGGTTGGTGTCAGGATAGAATCCCGTGTCGTGGTTGGTGTCACGATAGAATCCCGTGCCCTGGTTGGTGTCAGGATAGAATCCCGTGCCCTGGTTGGTGTCAGGATAGAATCCCGTGCCCTGGTTGGTGTCAGGATAGAATCCCGTGCCCTGGTTGGTGTCAGGATAGAATCCCGTCTGGTTGGTGTCAGGAAGAATCCCGTGCCTGGTTGGTGTCAGGATAGAATCCCGTGCGCTGGTTGGTGTCAGGATAGAATCCCGTGCCTGGTTGGTGTCAGGATAGAATCCCGTGCGCTGGTTGGTGTCAGGATAGAATCCCGTGCGCTGGTTGGTGTCAGGATAGAATCCCGTGCGCTGGTTGGTGTCAGGATAGAATCCCGTGCGCTGGTTGGTGTCAGGATAGAATCCCGTGCGCTGGTTGGTGTCAGGATAGAATCCCGTGCGCTGGTTGGTGTCAGGATAGAATCCCGTGCGCTGGTTGGTGTCACGATAGAATCCCGTGCGCTGAATCCCGTGCTGGTTGGTGTCAGGATAGAAATCTGCGCTGGTTGGTGTCAGGATAGAATCCCCTGCGCTGGTTGGTGTCAGGATAGAATCCCCTGCGCTGGTTGGTGTCAGGATAGAATCCCCTGCGCTGGTTGGTGTCAGGATAGAATCCCCTGCGCTGGTTGGTGCAGGATAGAATCCCGTGCGCTGGTTGGTGTCAGGATAGAATCCCGTGCGCTGGTTGGTGTCAGGATAGAATCCCGTGCGCTGGTTGGTGTCAGGATAGAATCCCGTGCGCTGGTTGGTGTCAGGATAGAATCCCGTGCGCTGGTTGGTGTCAGGATAGAATCCCGTGCGCTGGTTGGTGTCAGGATAGGTTGGTTGTCAGGATAGAATCCCGTGCGCTGGTTGGTGTCAGGATAGAATCCCGTGCGCTGGTTGGTGTCAGGATAGAATCCCGTGCGCTGGTTGGTGTCAGGATAGAATCCCGTGCGCTGGTTGGTGTCAGGATAGAATCCCGTGCGCTGGTTGGTGTCAGGATAGAATCCCGTGCGCTGGTTGGTGTCAGGATAGAATCCCGTGCGCTGGTTGGTGTCAGGATAGAATCCCGTGCGCTGGTTGGTGTCAGGATAGAATCCCGTGCGCTGGTTGGTGTCAGGATAGAATCCCGTGCGCTGGTTGGTGTCACGATAGAATCCCGTGCGCTGGTTGGTGTCAGGATAGCTGGTTGGTGTCACGATAGAAATGCCTGTGATAGAATCCCTGGTTGGTGTCACGATAGAATACTGTGATCTGGTTGGTGTCACGATAGAATCCCGTGTCCTGGTTGGTGTCACGATAGAATACTGTGCTGGTTGGTGTCACGATAGAATCCCGTGCGCTGGTTGGTGTCACGATAGAATCCCGTGTCCTGGTTGGTGTCACGATAGAATACTGTGACCTGGTTGGTGTCATGAAGTAATCGACTTCTTTGTGTATTTTTAGGATCGTTGGTTTTCTCGCAGATATTCTGCCACCCGGAGGATGTCCCCCTCTCCCCCCTGACAATGTCTGGCTTCAGTCCGGAGCTCATCGATTACCTGGAAGGGAAGATCTCATTCGAGGAATTCGAGAAACGCCGAGAGGAGCGACAAGCCAATGAGAAGAAGGTATTTGTGGGGAAAGAACAGCCGTAATGCTGCTGCCCTGCTCCTGATGTCCAGCTTGGGGGCCACATGTGGCCCTTTGGTGTTTGGGCTCTCAGGCTCCAACAAGAAGTCCCGGGAGTGACAACATTGCAGTCTCTGACCAATTCTTGTAGTATCTCTGCACGGTTGTACCGCCTCCTCTCCTGATTACTCTGATGTCACTGCACACTGTGAGCTTCTCACAATGTGCATTAGAAGCTGCAGCAAGTCCGATAGAGCTCCGCCCCATTTCCTGCCTGAAGCACTTCCAGCATCATCTAGCTCTTTCCTTTTCTGCCTGACTGTCCCTGGCCCCACCCTTTTCATTCATTGGATTTCATTTTTTTCCTCTTCTGCCTGACTGTCCCTGGCCCTGCCCCTTTCATTCATTAGAATTCAGTTCTTTTCTCTTCTGCCTGACTGTCCCTGGCCCCACCCCTTTCATTCATTTCTTTTCCCTGCTGCCTTCAATGTCCTTGGCCCCGCCCCTTTCATTCATCGGATTAATTTCTTTCCTCTTCTGCCTGACTGTCCCTGGCCCCGCCCCTTTCATTCATCGGATTAATTTCTTTCCTCTTCTGCCTGACTGTCCCTGGCCCCACCCCTTTCATTCATTGGACTTCAGTTCTTTCAGTCAAGGAGGCTCAACATCACATGTTACCTATGCAAATACTTAAATGCCTAGGAACGCCCCGCCCCTCCAGACTGACATCCACTCATCAAGGCTTTTTGATATCGGCACAACTCCTCCCAAGAGCCAGCCCACTGCATACATCACTATTGGGGCTATGTACAGCCCCCTGCCAGCTCCTCCCACCAGCACCGCATAGAGAAACACAGAGACCCAGTGTTCCTAAGTCTAAAAGAAGGTCTGTAATGAAAATGGAAAGCTTTTATTTAACCATTTCAATACCGGGCAATTTTACACCTTCCTGCCCAGGCCATTTTTCAGGTCTCAGCATGCTCACATTTTGAATGACAATTGCGCGGTCATACAACATTGTACCCAAACTAAAATTTTATCATTTTCTTCACACAACTAGAGCTTTCTTTTGGTGGTATTTAATCACCGCTGGGGTTTTTATTTTTTGCTAAATTAACAAAAAAAGACCAAAAAGTTTGAAAAAAAAAAAAGTTTCTCTTTGTTTCTGTTATAAAAATTTACAAATAATTGTTCTTCATAAATTTAGGCCGAGATGTATTCTGCTACATGTCTTTGGTGAAAAATAACCCAAATTAGGATGTATTATTTAGTTTGTAGGAAAGTTATAGAGTTCACAAACTATGGTATAGATCTGAATATTGATCAATCCTGAAGTACTGACAGCCAATCTAATTTCTTGAGGTCCAAGAATGTCAGAATAGTACAGATATCCCTCAAATGTCAGAACAGTACAGATATCCCCCAAATGTCAGGACAGTACAGATATCCCCCAAATGTCAGGACAGTACAGATATCCCCCAAATGTCAGGACAGTACAGATATCCCCCAAATGTCAGGACAGTACAGATATCCCCCAAATGTCAGGACAGTACAGATATCCCCCAAATGTCAGGACAGTACAGATATCCCCCAAATGTCAGAACAGTACAGATATCCCCCAAATGTCAGGACAGTACAGATATCCCCCAAATGTCAGAACAGTACAGATATCCCCCAAATGTCAGGATGGTACAGATATCCCCCAAATGTCAGGACGGTACAGATATCCCCCAAATGTCAGAACAGTACAGATATCCCCAAATGTCAGGACAGTTGTACAGATATCCCCCAAATGTCAGGACGGTACAGATATCCCCAAATGTCAGGACGGTACAGATATCCCCCAAATGTCAGGACGGTACAGATATCCCCCAAACGTCAGGACGGTACAGATATCCCCCAAACGTCAGGACGGTACAGATATCCCCCAAACGTCAGAACAGTACAGATATCCCCCAAATGACCTCTTTTTGCAGAGTAGACAGTCCGACGTATTTCATAAGAGGCATGGCAAGTTTTTTGAAGTTGTATTTTTTTTGTCATAATTTTTTGGAAAATTAAAAAATACGGCCATTAGGCCGGCAATATGGTTCATGTAATTGCAAAAATGTTGGATGGGTGGGGGAGGAGGAATCCAGTATTTCACAAAGTCAAATAGGTAGTTTCACTATTTTTTTTTTACATACTGTCACCAGTGCAGTACAGCGTCATCATATAACTGGCATGACAGTGATCAGGGACACTGACTGGTGACAGTAACCCCAAAAAAAAAAAAAAAATTATATATATATAACTTTTTTTTGTTTAAGCTTTATTTTTTATTTTTTATTAAATTCTTTTTTTTTTTTAAAGATTTATCTTTTTCATATTTCACTATGACCACTATGGGGAAGTGATCAGTATGTTTTTTTTTATACACAATTTGCTTATAGCAAAGAATTACTTTGCTATAAGCAAGCATTTACCTGAATGACATCAATTCATTCAGGGTTTTTTTTTTTTGTTTTTTTTTTGTGCTTAGCTGTGATTTGGCCACAGCTAATCACATGACATGTGCATGTGATCGCTATGACCATTCACAGCTAGACACTAGTATACAATGGATGGCATGAATTAAGCCATCCATTGTATACAACTGTCATGTGACCTGCTGGGATTGGTAGCAGCAGGTCACATGGTACCGGCAACGGGGGCCGATACTCAGATCTGTCATCGGCCGTGTCTGAGGTACACGGCCGGTGACAGATCACGCCGCTCTGCAGGAGCGCAATCTGCGCGGGAGGACGCCATATGGCGTCCACCCGGAACGCTGATGATATTTGCCGCCCGCCATTCGGCCATAGGGCGGGCGGCAAATGGTTAAACATGTAATTCAAATGTTGATGGTGGGGGAGGGAGGAACCAGGGAAAGTCCAAATAGCAGACTAAACCTCAGCATTATTGATCTATATCAACAGATCTGATTGTAGGTTGCATGGTGTATTGTGTGATGTCTGTGTACAGTATAATAAAACCAATCTCACTGTGCCGGGATCAGGGTGAATCAAAGGAGGCCGATGCAGACAGAGCAGAACGTGACGCTGATGATCCCAATGTGCCGTCCACATCTCAGCAGCTGTACTCGGAGAACACGCAGGGCACTGAAGATACAGGTAGGTCCTTAGGAATAAGTGCGCATAATTTCACTCAGATGTGCTAAAAATGTGCTTACATATAAACAATAACAAATACATTCATATAAAATAATCACTTCTAGTACATCATTTGCTTACATATAGAAAAAATGGCCGCTTTGCACGTTTTTGATACATTTTGTAATGCTTATTGCATTTTTTTAATGTTCCCCCCCCAACTTGTTGCTGGACAGGTTAAACCCCTCGCCCTCCAGAGGATTCCTCCTCCCTTCCTGACCAAGCCGTTTTTTTTTGCATTACGGCGCTGCGTTAATTTATCTGACATTTGCGCAGTCGTGCGACGCTGCACCCAAATGAAATTTACGTCCGTTCCCCCCACCCCACCCCCCCACTAATTAAGCTTTCTTTCAGTGGTATTTGATCGCCTGTGCGGTTTTTATTTTTGCGCTATAAACGAATAAAACAACTGACAATTTTGAGAAAAAAAAACAATATTTTGGACTTTTTGCTATTAAACATATCCAGTAAAAAAAGGTAAAAAATCATCATGAATTTAGGCCAAAATGTATTCTGCTCCGTGTCTTTGCTAAAAAAAAAAAATCCTGATACGTGTAATTAAGTGGTTTACATGAAAGTTACAGCGTTTACAAATGGCGGTATATATAGTGGGATTTTAATTTTTACTAGTAATGGCAGCGATCAGCGACTTGTAGCGGGACATTCTGACACTGGGAAGAACTGACTTGGTGTCACTAACATCCCCAGTGACACCAATACAGTGATCAGTGCTAAAAGAAAAAAAAGCACTGACACTGTACTAACGGCACTGGGCAGGAAGGGGTTAACATCTGGGGCGATCAAAGGGTTAACTGTGTGCTGGGTGTGTTTTACTAGGGGGTGGGGTCTGTGTGTTTCAATGTAAGCACACTGCTCTCGATGGCTGTGCTGTGTAGTGTGCCCGAGCTGACAGGGAGGAGAACTGTTAGTAAACCGTTTTCCTCCTCTTCGGAGATCCTTGGTAATCATTGGGCACCAGCGAGTAATTACTGGCCGGGACCCGGTGATTGACGGCCGCGAATGGCGGCTCACACTCCCTCCTACCCGGAAATGCAAAATCACGTATATACATGATTTTGCACACCCATGCCACCCTGTAGCACTATTTCTGCTATAGGGTGGTCAGGAAGCGGTTAAAAACGTATTAAACCGCAACACGTGTGCATTTTTGCTGCGTTTTCAGCGCATATCCAGTCTGGTTCACACCAATGCAGTTTGCTTTTTGTCTGTTTTGCAATGCGTTTTACGTTTTTGCACGCTTGTTTTTGATGCTTTTTTGAATGTTTTTTTTTTTCTTTTTATTTGGCCAACTTGTTGCTGGGCAGATTAAACATGAAAACCGACTTACATGCGTTTTCTGCAAGGTCTCCATTGAAGTCTATTGAACCAAAAACGCAACGTTTTGCTTTAAAAAAAAAGTCCGACCCTTTCCAAAAACGCAGCAGCTCAAAAAAAGCATAAATGTGAATGTGTCCCATAGGAAACCATGTTAAATGGACTGTAGTGCATTTCTGCAAAAAGCCCTAAAAAAAGCGCATTGGTGTGAATCAGGCCTCAGTGAGGAGGTGCGTTTTTTTTTTTTTTTTTTTACCTCGCCAAATATGCACCAATATTGCGGCAGGCAGGATTTTTACCCCGCAAGAGAAGTGCACCGGATCAGTGTGAAGACATGCATTGAATTTAAAGTGATGCATTTTTTTTGTGTCTTTTTATAAAGCTCTGCAAAAACTGCTCGGTGTGAAAGCAGCCTATTGGCTGAAAAGGTGCTGAAAATAAATTCATTTAGATTCATGATATTAATTAAAAAATTGAATACAATACAATTATATTTATAAAAAAATATATATTTTTTTTAATTTCCATTTTGATTTTGGTTTTCAGCCAAATGCATCTTTCTGAATTTTCAGGTTTCGGTCCAAGAATTTTCATTTCAGCGCACCGCTAGTTTTATTGGGAGGAATAGTGCCCCCTTGTTGATAACAATGAGATGAATAGTGCTAGGCAAGGGCAAGCAAGGGGCCACATGTGGCCCCTGGGCCACAAGCTGGAGACCTCTGCACTAAAGGATGCTACAACAGGTGTAAGAGACGCGGGCTGCCAGAGGTTTACAGTCACAGCAAAATAATCCACACACATCCCCTACTTCATGGCCCTGTAAACTACACTACTCAAAAAAATGAAAGGAAGACTTTGAAAACCCATCAGATCTCAATGGGGAGAAATCTCCTGCTGGATCTCTGTACTGACCTGGACGGGGTAATGTGTGAGGAACGTAAGGACACCCCATCGTTTGATGGAAATGAAAATGATCGACCTACAGAGGACTGAATTCAAAGACACCCCGAAAATCAAAGTGAAGAAATGATGCAGCAGGCTAGTCCATTCTGCTGAAATGTCATGGCAGCAACTCAGAATGGTCCTCAGTAGTTTGTATGGCCCCCATGTGCTTGTATGCATGCCTGACAATGTCGGGGGAGGATCCTAATGAGACCACGGATGGTGTCCTGGGGGATTTCCTCCCAGATCTGGACCAGGGCATCACTGAGCTCCTGGACAGTCTGAGGTGCAACCTGGAGGCGTCGGATGGACCGAAACATGATATCCCAGAGGGGTTCTATTGGATTTAGGTCAGGTGAGCGTGGGGGCCATTCAATGGTATCAATTCCTTCATCCTCCAGGAACATCCTGCATACTCTCACCACATGAGGCCGGGCATTGTTGTGCACCAGGAGGAACCCAGGAGCCACTGCACCAGGAGGAACCCAGGAGCCACTGCACCAGGAGGAACCCAGGAGCCACTGCACCAGGAGGAACCCAGGAGCCACTGCACCAGGAGGAACCCAGGAGCCACTGCACCAGGAGGAACCCAGGAGCCACTGCACCAGGAGGAACCCAGGAGCCACTGCACCAGGAGGAACCCAGGAGCCACTGCCCCAGCGTTGGGTCTAACAATGGGTCCAAGGATTTCATCCCGATACCTAATGGCAGTCAGGGTGCTATTGTCTAGCCTGTAGAGGTCTGTGCGTCCCTCCATGGATATGCCTTCCCAGACCATCACTGACCCACCACCAAAACAGTCATGCTGAACGATGCTCTCATCTGTGAAAAGCACAGGGCGCCAGTGGTGGACCTGCCAATTCTGGTGTTCAATGGCAAATGCCAATCCAGCTCTATGGTGCCGGGCAGTGAGCACAGGGCCCACTAGAGGACGTCGGGCCCTCAGGCCACCCTCATGAAGTCTCTCCCAATGTGTTCGCCTGTGATCTCTGCATCAAACAGCCCACATGTCACTCAACAGAGAGGAAGGGGGGATTTCGGAGGAATCTGATTTGGGAGTAGAAAATGATACAAGATGGAGGCCTTTGCCAAAATGGAGGTTCGCATCCATCTGTGTGCACGATTGCTACACACGCTAGTTAGTCATGCTGTATGTACACTACAAATCCCATAGTCCATAATCAATCTCAGCGAGCAAGAGAGGGTGGCCACGTTCCTACAGTGGGATGATGGAGAACGAACGTAGCCACCCTCTAACAGGAAGTTGGATCACAGCAGCAAAAAATAATCAGTTTATAGTAATATGATGTAAAAATATAAAATAATTACAATTAATAAAAAAAAGTAAATTTTTTGCTTTGTTTTGCAGATGAAACATCAGATGGCGTCAGCAAGTCCGTTCAGCGTGCGTTTGCGTCGATGCTCGGAGAAGATGACGGAGAAGAGGAGGACGATGAAGACGAAGGAGAAGATCGTTCTGGACAGCTCTCTGCTGGGGATGTCTTTGCCTTGGAAATGCAACTGGACAGAGAAAACAAGAAGATGATGAAGGTATTCTATACATCCCATCGTGTGCGGTCTCTCCGGGTATATATGGACCCAGGATTGGCTGTTTACGGGGATTCTAACAATACAGAGTCGGTACGTTTTGTTGATCTGATGGGATCAAAAAAATTCCACCTAATCTCAACGAACATTACATTTTTACAAATCTTTACCGAACAGTTAATGAGCTCTAAAGAGCAACTCCACTTTTGTTGAGACAGATCCTCCCCTCGGGGTGATCTATGCACCTTGCAGGGATTTTAGCAACCTTTGTTGCAGATTCCTACCTCTCGTTATTCTGAAGAAATAGCTGTGTGTTTCTTTATGTCCATGTGTAGAGTAAATCCGTATAGAAGTGAACTTATAATTATCAATCAGCTGCTGCACTTGCAGGGCTCTGAGGAAAGTGGCAGGGTCTGCATCCCTTTAGACATGATTTCGTTTTTTTTTTTGAGTATCTCACCAAAAATGAGATTTGTGTTGCAGGGGATGGCAAATACCTGACTTGTATTTTAGTGCAGACTTCTGGGGAAATCAGTGGGCCAATTACACAAGTAGGAAATTACATTTCTGGGGGGGGGGAGGGGTATTTTGTATACCATCTGTATACAGAACACCTCCAGGTTGCCATATTGCATTTTTCAGAGAAATACAGTGCTGCAGTTTGAAAAGCAAATGTCATTATAATAACTCAATTATAATCTGGCTGTCGCAATTGTATACGCTATATTATTATTGCTATTATTATTTTTTATTTTATTTGCAATTTTTTTACCCAATGAAAGTGGAGTTACCCTTTAACCAACCTCAATACCAACATGTGAAACCCCCTTCCTGTCAAGGCCATTGTTCAGTTTTCAGTGCTGTGATAGTCTGACTGACATCTACTCCATCATGCATCAACCACTGTAACCAAATGAATTTTATATAACCTGTAATTTTCTTTAGACAGATAGTAATTTCTCTATTTGTTACTATGTAAAGCAAAAAAAATTAACAAAATTCTGAAAAATACCCATAACTGGTGGTCAGTGGCATTTTAGGACCCCCCTTTCCCAGACCAAAAAAAAAAAAAAAAATGGCACAATTCTTGCTGGTCAGTGGTATTTTAAAACCACCTCACCTATCAATAGTGATCAGTGGTACTTTAACCCTCCCCCCCATTACAAGCTGATTGTGCAATCTCCTTTAGATTGCAAGTTGCTTGCCTAAAATACATTTCTATTGTCCAAACCTTCTTCGGGTTCATCTTTTTAAGGGCCTGTGTCGATGGACTTTTAACACATCAGATGGATATTACATTTCCATGCAAGTTTATAGGAAGGAAGCAGGTCAGAAGGAGGTTACCTACAGGTCAGATGCATCTGTCACTGAATTCTGAAGAACCTCAGAAGTCCTAAAGTCCATCAACACAATCCTAACACGTGAGTCCTAAAGCCCTTCAACGGGAGTCCTAAAGCCCTTCAACGGGAGTCCTAAAGCCCTTCAACGGGAGTCCTAAAGCCCTTCAACGGGAGTCCTAAAGCCCTTCAACGGGAGTCCTAAAGCCCCTCAACGGGAGTCCTAAAGCCCCTCAACGGGAGTCCTAAAGCCCCTCAACGGGAGTCCTAAAGCCCCTCAACGGGAGTCCTAAAGCCCCTCAACGGGAGTCCTAAAGCCCCTCAACGGGAGTCCTAAAGCCCCTCAACGGGAGTCCTAAAGCCACTCAACGGGAGTCCTAAAGCCACTCAACGCGAGATCTAAAGCCCTGATAAAGAAACCTCTTAGAACCCATGAAATGTATTAGAGATTGCAATGGACAACCTGGCTCCCTGACTGGGTGCCTCCGCCAACCAGTGCCTTCTGCCATCTAAACCCTTCCAGCAGACCGAATGCTAATACCAGCCCTTTACCCCAAGCCTCATACATAGACAAGATGCTGAGGTAAAACAGAAGAACTGTTTATTAAAACCTAGCCACATACTTTCTACCTCCCTGGGAGGACATTTGCCTCTTGGGGATATTAGCATAGATAACGTACAACTAGTAAAAACATGACAATGCAACCTTTGAACAATTCTTGCTGGTCAGTGGTATTTTAAAACCACCTCCCCTATCATTAGTGATCAGTGGTACTTTAACCCTCCCCCACGTTACAAGCTGATTGTGCAATCTCCTTTAGATCTACCAAAAATGATTGTAGTGCAAGTGTCTGCCTGACTGGATACAAATTGATCGGTTCGATCAGATAGGTGCTCATATTACATTAGTTTTGGTAAATTTAAAGTTGACTGTGTGGTCAGATTGCAACATGTATGGTGAGCCGACGGGGAAGGGCTTTCCTATGGATGATGATGCAGTGACCGCAAGGCCCAGAGTTACTCTGAATGGCTCTGTACCTTCAGCTTATGGCCTCCTCTGTCTAATGCCGGTGGGATCACAGGCATTTTGCATACACCGGGTGCGTACCAATGTTTATAAACGCCCACTTAGAATAACCATTTCACCTATCGGCAGTCTTACTGTAAGGGCTTGTAATCAGGTGGTTAAAATGGGATTGGAATTCATTTTAGGATTCTGCCAAAGTTGCTTGCCTAAAATACATTTCTATTGGCCAAACCTTCTTCGGGTTCAGCTTTTTAAGGGCCTGTGTCGATGGACTTTTAACACATCAGGTGGGTATTACATTTCCATGCAAGTTTATAGGAAGGAAGCAGGTCAGAAGGAGGTTACCTACAGGTCAGATGCATCTGTCACTGAATTCTGAAGAACCTCAGAAGTCCTAAAGTCCATCAACACAATCCTAACACGCGAGTCCTAAAGCCCTTCAACGGGAGTCCTAAAGCCCTTCAACGGGAGTCCTAAAGCCCTTCAACGGGAGTCCTAAAGCCCTTCAAACTAAAGGGAGTCCTAAAGCCCTTCAACGGGAGTCCTAAAGCCCTTCAACGGGAGTCCTAAAGCCCTTCAACGGGAGTCCTAAAGCCCTTCAACGGGAGTCCTAAAGCCCTTCAACGGGAGTCCTAAAGCCCTTCAACGGGAGTCCTAAAGCCGCTCAACGGGAGTCCTAAAGCCGCTCAACGGGAGTCCTAAAGCCGCTCAACGGGAGTCCTAAAGCCGCTCAACGGGAGTCCTAAAGCCCTTCGGCGGGAGTCCTAAAGCCCTTCGGCGGGAGTCCTAAATTCGCTCAACGGGAGTCCTAAAGCCCTTCAACTGAGTTTTTTTTTTTTTTTACATATAATGCTTTACATTGTAGAGGAAAGATGTGGGGTCTTCTTGACCCCATATCTCTCCATAAAGGGGACCTGTCACTAATTATTTCTATCACAAGGGATGCATGCATTCCTTGTGATCAGAATAAATGTGATTCAAATTTTTTTTAAACGGACAGTGCAAAAAAACCCCATTAAATAAATTAATAAAAAAAAGTTTAACGTGCCCCCGTCCCTCCGTGCTCGCTAGTGATGAACGCATACGTAGGCCATGCCCACATATGTAAACGGTGTTCAAACCACACACGTGAGGTATCGCCACGCACTTCGGAGCAAGAGCAATAATTCTTGCATTAGACCTCCTCTGTAACTATACACTGCTAACCTGTAGAAATTTTTCAAGCATCACCCATGGAGATTTTTAAGTACCGCAGTTTCACGCCATTCCACGAGCGTGCGCAATTTTAAAGCGTGACATGTTGGGTACTCGCCGTAACATCCTCTTTCCTATTTGATAAAAAATTAAGGTATATAATTTTTTTTTTTTTGGAATCAAAGTGTATCTTTTTTCCAAAAAAGGGGTCAATAGGGGGCCCCATGAGATGCCCCTGGTACCCTTCATAGGCTTTTTTGGGTGTGGTTTGTGTTTGGGGTGAGGACACGGGCCCCATGATCCCCTATTGCCCAGGGGCCCCATGAGTTGTCAGTCCGCCCCTGTGCCCAAGAATAGTCCCATATCACAGGTTGGTGAAGGTGCGTCTGCCCGATCATTCTGACACAGTGTTCCCGCAGACGCACCACTGTTCTGGGGACTTCCTGGCTGCATAATCCCAGTAGATATACCTGGATAGTCAGAGGGTTTCAGGATCTGGCCTACCTCCATGCTCTGACTGGGAGAAGCAGACATGGGCCATAATCAGTGGGTAGCCCATAGTCTCCTCCAAAAGCCCCTGTGTTGGTTGGGTCTATCACAGCTATTTCAGGACTGCATCCACTGCCTTGTGCTCCCCTCTCTGCATATCTCATACAGATTTAGTGGCATTGGTTGGATACATAACATGCGTTTATTGCAGTGTGGGGAGCCCCACTGTAGGGGTGTTTTGTAAAAAAAAAAAAAAAAAAAAGTCCCAGAGTTCAAAAGCTTGCTTGTGATGATGTTTGCTTGAAACATTGATGCGTTTGTTTATTTTATTTTTTACTTCTTTTACTTTAGGCTAAAAGGCCACGCAGCAAACTGCCGAGAGCTCTCAGGGGCCTCATGGGAGAGGCCAACATCCGCTTTGCTCGGGGAGAGCGGGAAGAAGCCATTATAATGTGTATGGAAATCATTAGACAAGGTATGCACTCTCCGTATTTAGGTCTGACGGCTTCAATGTCAATCTTTGCGTCGGTAGCTGTAAGGAGGGAAAAAAAACGGATAAACCACATAATTGTGTTCAGCGCTTAAGGAAGTTTTTGTGGTGTTTTTTTTTGAGGTTGTACTGATTGCATCGAGGATTAAAGGCCGAAATGTTATTATAGAGAGTTCATTATATTGTCAGAGGAGAAAAAAAAGGAACCAGCATGCTTAGGAGAGCCTTCATGGGCTGAATCGGAAGGACGCAAATACGGCGGACCCTCTCTTTACTTCTTTACCATCCTTCCACATCGCACAAACAACACACTTTTCTAACCACCCACACCACTACAACACTTAAAAAATCTGTGATGCCCTCGGATGGTGTCTTCTGGTGGCTATTGACTGTCCATCTCACGTCACATACCTGGACATCATTGTACACGTTCCTGACATCTGACATAAGAATCAACAAGAACTCCTTTTTTTTTTTTTATATTTCATTAGTCTTTCTTACATGTGTATACTGTACGTTGTTTATTTGCTCAATGTTCTGGTTAATACATCTCTGTACAACTGTTACTGTATGTACCATGTCATCTCTTATGAAAAATATGCTCGGGTTGCATCAATATGTAAGTACCCTCCTGGTTTGTCCAAATAGTAAAGTAATAAAGCAATAAAATTCTCCTTAGGATATTAAGTTTGCTTACAAGTCACAGAGGTGCACCGAGTGCAAAAAGATTCACTGGATGGCGCAGAGCACACCAGGGAACACAGGGGGCAGACTAGAGTCACTTTGGTCACTAGGTGGCACAGGATCAGGGGGCACTGGGGGCACAGGTATCATGGGGGGACACAGAATGATCTGGTTGAAGTGGAGTCACAGGGGTCATGAGGTAACATTTGATGTTCAGGGTGTGCTGAAATCACAGGGGTAATGGGGTAATATTGGATGCTCTGGGTGCGCTGCAATCACAGGGGTCAAGGGGTAACATTGGATGCTCAGGGTGCACTGAAATCACAGGGGGTATGCGGTTACACAGAATGATCTGGGTGGAGTGGAGTCACAGGGCTCATGGGGTTGCATTGGATGCTCAGGGTGTGCTGAAATCACAGGGGTCATGGGGTAAATTTGGATACTTGGGGTGTGCTGAAATCATAGGGGTCATGGGGTAAAATTGGATAATCGGGGTGCACTGAAATCACAGGGAGCATGGGGTAACATTGGATACTCGGCGTGCACTGAAATCACAGGGGGCATGGGGTAACATTGGATACTCGGGGTGCACTGAAATCACAGGGCTCATGGGGTAACATTGGATACTGGGGGTGCACTGAAATCACAGGGGTCATGGGGTAACATTGGATACTCGGGGTGCAATGAAATCACAGGGGGTCATGGGGTAACATTGGTTACTTGGGGTGCACTGAAATCACAGGGGTCATGGGGTTACACAAAATGATCTGGGTGCACTGGAGTCACAGGGGTCATAGGGTAGCATTGGATGCTCAGGGTGTGCTGAAATCACTGGGGTCTTGGGGTAACATTGGATACTCTGGGTGCACTGAAATCACAGGGGTCATGGGGTAACATTGGATTCTTGGGGTGCACTGAAATCACAGGGGTCATGTGGTTACACAGAATGATCTGGGTGCATTGGAGTCACAGGGGTCATGGGGTAGCATTGGATGCTCAGGGTGTGCTGAAATCACAGGGGTCATGGGGTAAAATTGGATACTTGGGGTGTGCTGAAATCACAGGGGTCATGGGGTAAAATTGGATAATCAGGGGGCACTAAAATCACAGGGGTCATGGGGTAACATTGGATACTTGGGGTGCACTGAAATCACAGGGGTCATGGGGTAAAATTAGATGCTCAGGGTGCACTGAAATGATAGGGGTCATGGAGTAACATTGGATACTCGGGGTGCACTGAAATCACAGGGGTCATGGGGTAAAATTAGATGCTCGGGGTGCACTGAAATGATAGGGGTCATGGGGTAACATTGGATACTCGGGGTGTACTGAAATCACAGGGGTCATGGGGTAAAATTAGATGCTCGGGGTGCACTGAAATGATAGGGGTCATGGGGTAACATTGGATACGCTGGGTGTACTGAAATCACAGGGGTCATGGGGTAACATTGGATGCTCAGGGTGCACTGAAATCACAGGGGTCATAGGGTAAAATTGGATACTCGGGGTGTGCTGAAATCACAGGGGTCAAGGAGTAAAATTGGATGCTCAGGGTGCACTGGAGTCATAGGGGTCATAGATTGACATTGGATGCTCAGGGGTCACAGAGTGATACAGAATGGCTAGGGTGCTGTGTGGTCACAGGGGTAATGGGGTGACATTGGATGCTCAGGGTGCTCTAAGTCACAGAGTGACACAGGTTGCTTAGGATGCAATAGAAGCACAGGGCTCATGGGGTAACATTGGACAATCAGGATGCACTGAAATCACATGGGTCATGGGGTAACATTGGACGATCGGGATGCACTGAAATCACATGGGTTATGGGGTAACATTGGACGATCGGGATGCACTGAAATCACATGGGTTATGGGGTAACATTGGACGATCGGGATGCACTGAAACCACATGGGTTATGGGGTAACATTGGACGATCGGGATGCACTGAAACCACATGGGTTATGGGGTAACATTGGACGATCAGGATGCACTGAAATCACATGGGTTATGGGGTAACATTGGATGATCAGTATGCACTGAAATCACATGGGTTATGGGGTAACATTGGACGATCAGGATGCACTGAAATCACATGGGTTATGGGGGTAACATTGGACGATCGGGATGCACTGAAATCACATGGGTTATGGGGTAGCACAGATGCTCAGGGTGTTCTGGAGTCACAGGGGTAATGGGGTGATACTCGTTGCTCGGGGTGCTCTGGAGTCACGGGGGTGACACTGGAAGCTTAGGTTGTTCTAAGTCACAAAGGTCACGGATTGACAAAGGTTGCTCGGGGTGTTCTGGAGTCACAAAGGTCATGGGATGATACTGGATGCTATGGGGTCACAGAGTGACATTGGATGCTTAGGGTGCTTTAAGTCATAAGGGTCACAGGGTGACGATGCTCAGCATGCTCTGCAATCACAGGGTGACACTGGAGACATGAGATATTGCTACAAGGGGCTCAGCTTAGGCATAATGGCACGTTGCTCCAACACCAGGACAGATACCGCTTCTCTGTTTTTTAAACCAATCAGGAGATCTACCTTGTGATTGTCCATAAGGCTGGTGCTCAAGGTGATACTTGGAAGTGCCAATGGCCATGTGCTGGAGAGACCTGGTCCCGGAATGCAGGAGAGGTGAGAATGACAACACTTGGACAATCTGTCATTGTACTCTTGCCCCACAACAGGTTCCTTCCAGGCTTACATTTATTACATGCAGTGCAGTGATTTGTGAACCATGGCCACATTGTAGACAATGTCCACTCTTGAAGACCAATTAAATTAGCAACAGTTTCTTTTTGGAATTCTATTTCAGCTTTTCTTCTTTTCATTTTAGCTCCTCTGGCCTATGAGCCTTTCTCTACCCTGGCGATGATCTATGAAGACCAGGGGGACATGGAGAAGTCTCTGCAGTTTGAGCTGATCGCTGCCCACCTAAACCCCAGTGATACGGAGGAATGGGTGAGACTGGCTGAGATGTCCTTAGAACAGGATAACATCAAGCAAGCCATATTTTGTTACTCCAAAGGTAAAATAATAATGGTGGCATTGATTTGTTCTTGTATGTTGTTTGGAGATAAAGAAGTGCTCTGCTCCCCCCTGGGAGGGTGAGGGTGGTATGCCCAACTCCAACCATCCCCCTTTTCCCTCTGGGCCATCCAACAAGGTAGGTAGTGAGCAGACGGCTGCATTAATAGTCGGTGTTTAAGACCAGCAGCAGCAAGAACAAAGCAAAGGGGCGCATGTAGTAGTTTGTCCCATGCGCCCAACACCATGCCCCCTCCCCAGGCTGTTCGTATGTAGTAAGAGGACAGCTGCATTAATAGTCAGTGCCTAAAGCAAGCATTGATGAGAGGACTGGAGAGATGGATGTGTCTGCACATGCCTGTCAGTATTTCTTTTTTTCTGGCGCTTGTCTCAGGCAAGTGCTTGGAGCCGGGACAAGCAGCCATCTCCTTGCTAAGTGTGTTTTTGGATGGCCATGGAGGTTGGGGGTGGCACACCCAACCCCAACCATCCCTTCTTGACCATCCAACAGCATAGGTAAGGGGACGGCGGCATTAATAGACGGTGCCCAAGACAAGCGGGGGCAAGAGGAATGCAGATGGGGACGTGTCTGTACATATGTGTGCTTGGAGCCGGGACAAGCAGTCACCTCCTTGCTGTGTTCTTGGATGGCCATGGAGGTTGGGGGTGGCACACTCCACCCCAACCATCCCCTCTTGACCATCCAACAGCATAGGTAAAGGGACGGCGGCATTAATAGACGGTGCCCAAGACAAGCGGGGGCAAGAGGAATGCAGATGGGGACGTGTCTGTACATATGTTTGCTTGGAGCCGGGACAAGCAGTCACCTTGCTGTGTTCTTGGATGGCCATGGACGGTGGGGGTGGCACACCCAACCCCAACCATCCCCTCTTGACCATCCAACAGCATAGGCAAGGGGACGGCGGCATTAATAGACGGTGCCCAAGACAAGCGGGGGCAAGAGGAATGCAGATGGGGCCGTGTCTGTACATATGTGTGCTTGGAGCCGGGACAAGCAGTCACCTCCTTGCTGTGTTCTTGGATGGCCATGGAGGTTGGGGGTGGCACACTCAACCCCAACCATCCCCTCTTGACCATCCAACAGCATAGGTAAAGGGACGGCGGCATTAATAGACGGTGCCCAAGACAAGCGGGGGCAAGAGGAATGCAGATGGGGACGTGTCTGTACATATGTTTGCTTGGAGCCGGGACAAGCAGTCACCTTGCTGTGTTCTTGGATGGCCATGGACGGTGGGGGTAGCACACCCAACCCCAACCATCCCCTCTTGACCATCCAACAGCATTGGTAAGGGAAAGGCTGCATTAATAGACGGTGCCCAAGACAAGCGGGGGCAAGAAGAATGCAGATGGGGACGTGGCTGTACATTTGTAAGCCAGCATTCCTTATGCCAATGCTTTTCTCACACAAGTGCTTGGAGCCGGGGCAAGCAGTCATCTCCTTGCTAACTGTGTTTTCGAATGGCCATGGAGGTTGGGGTGGCACATCCAACCCCAACCATTCCCCCTGACCATCTAATAGTGTAGGTAAGTACACTGCTGTATTTTTAGACAGTGCTCAAGACAAGCGGGGGCAACATGAATGCAGAGGGGGACGTGTCTGTACATATGTAAGCCAGCATTTCTTATGCCAGTGCTTGTCTCAGGCAAGTGCTTGGAGCCGGGTCAATCAGTCATTTCCTTGCTAACTACATTTTTCGGATGGCCGTGGATGGTGGTCCAATATGGCACGCCCAACCCCAACCATCCATCTCCCTTGCTATCCAACTACATAGGTAGCAAGGGAGATGGCACGCCCAACCCCAACCATCCATCTCCCTTGCTATCCAACTACATAGGTAGCAAGGGAGATGGATGGTTGGGGTTGGGTGTGCCATCTCCCTTGCTACCTATATAGCTGGATAGCAAGGGAGATGGATGGTTGGGGTTGGGCGTGCCATCTCCCTTGCTACCTATGTAGCTGGATAGCAAGGAAGATGGATGGTTGGGGTTGGGTGTGCCATCTCCCTTGCTACCTATGTAGTTGGATAGCAGCTTGTCTCAGGCAAGTGCTTGGAGCCGGGACAAGCAGTCATCTCCTTGCGAACTACATTTTTCGGATGGCTGTGGATGGTGGTCCAACATGGCACGCCCAACCCCAACTATTCATCTCCCTTGCTATCCAACTACATAGGTAGCAAGGGAGATGGCACGCCCAACCCCAACCATCCATCTCCCTTGATGATATCCAACTACCTTGGTAGCAAGTGAAATGGCACGCCCAACCCCAACAATCCATCTCCCTTGATATCCAACTACCTTGGTAGCAAGTGAAATGGCACGCCCAACCCCAACAATCCATCTCCCTTGATATCCAACTACCTTGGTAGCAAGGGAGAGGGCACGCCCCAACCCCAACCATCCATCTCCCTTGCTATCCAACTACATAGGTAGGAAGGGGATAGCTGCCATAATAGTTTCTGACCAAGACAAACGGCAGTAAGAGAAATGTAGGGGGGTGGCTGGGCATGTCATAATTTCTTATGCCGATCTCAGGCAAGTGGTTGGAGCCAAGACAAGCAGCCATCTCTTTGATAGCTACGTTTTTGGACAGCTGTAGAGGGTGAAGAGGTGATGTGCTCTGTCCAACCTTGTAGCCAGGATTACAAAGAATGTAAGAACATGGGGCAAAGTATCACATGAGATGTACAATGTTCGGGTGCAAGCGAAATTGACATATTTGGTAGCCAGTTGAGGGAGCAAACCTATCCACACTACAGATCAGTAGAAAGAAAAGGCGACTGTACCTTGATAGATGCAACTTTTGGCACTTTTATGGTAAATCGATGAGTTAAACAAAATAAACAGTTTCGATGCCAGTTTTATACACGTTGTTACTTTGTATCCATACTGTATAGACAGACACATGAGGTCATTGTGTTATCTAGATATTGTGATGTAGAATAATTGACGTTACGTTTTACAGCGCTGAAGTACAACCCTACAAACGTCCGTTACTTGTGGGAAAGATCGAGCCTGTATGAGCAGGTGGGAGAACACAAACTGGCCATGGATGGATATCGTCGGATCTTGAATCTGTTGTCTCCGTCCGATGGAGATCGCTTCATGCAGTTGGCAAGAGATATGGCTAAGTATGTCATTGTAACCTGTTTCTCTTAAAAGCAGAACTTCGTATTTTTCGTAATTACATTGGGCCAGCTTGGCACGATGTAAGTATGTATCAATCAGAGAACGCCTTGCTTTTTTTTTCTCGGTGAATGCAAAGGGTTTTCTGATTGGACAAGATGGAGAGGAGGGGTAGTGATGTCATGATCTCCACCTCATCCAATTCAGAGAGTGTGTTGTGTTTTGCCAGGCTATGATCATTGAAGAATCTGCAAATCCTTTACAGATCGTAATTTAATTTTAAAACAAGCCTTCATTGTTCTCTGTAGCTGCGAGCACCGTGGAGCAAATAATCCTTAAAGTTCACTGCAGAAAAACAAAAGTAATTTAGTTCATTATCTGAGCAGCTCAACTCTCCCCCTCCCAGCAGTAACTCAGCAGCTTATTACCAGCTGTGACTCGGCAGCCTTTCTAATCAGTAATACAGCCGTCATCAACCAGGGTTCCTTCAGTGGTGTCTCGGGGTTCCTTGAGCTGTAGCTGATTGACCTGCCATTTGGTGGTGCCTGCACAGTTCTGGGACCAACACCACTTGTGAAAGCCGGCAGTATGACACCAATGATCTTATTAGCTGTATAAGAGGGGCAAAACAAAGGGTTCTCCCAATACCTGACAATTATTTTAGGGCTTCCTCTGGGGTAGAAAGTCTGAGAAAAGCTGCTCAAATCTATGCACAGAGCAGGAGTGGGGAGATGAGCTACTGACAGAACAATTTGGTTGACCTCACTGCACTGCTTCTGAATTTTGAAAATGAATTGCTCCACAGTGCCTGCAGCTACACAGGTCATTGATGGCTTGTTTTAAAGCAAATTTATTCCTGGATAAGAATTTGTGAATATGTGAATGTCAACTGTAAAATAAGGCTGTAGGGGAACCCGGGGATTTTGTTTTTCATTTAGGCACTGCTTGTTGACCAAGGATTGTCCTATTTCAGATGTGGCTTTATGCATTGACATAACATTTTACACCCAGTGTCTGGACAGTACGGTTGCCTCCTGTTTGGCACCATCCACAGGCACCCAGTGTCTGGACAGTATGGTTACCTCCTGTTTGGCACCATCCACAGGCACCCAGTGTCTGGACAGTATGGTTGCCTCCTGTTTGGCACCATCCACAGGCACCCAGTGTCTGGACAGTATGGTTGCCTCCTGTTTAGCACCATCCACAGGCACCCAGCTTCTGGACAGTATGGCTACCTCCTGTTTTGGCACCATCCACAGGCACCAACTAGTGCTAAACAGGAGGGAAGGAAAGAGGAAGCTACCAAATCACATAAGTAAAAAGTTACAGTGGCCCCCGTGGGCCGGAAAATCCTTCAGTTGTGGTCTACCTGTTGACTGCGGGCAGGTAGACCCTGCCTTTTAGGTGCCATTCCTTCTCCCTACCCCCGCCCCCTCCCTCCACTGTCATCCACATGGCACAGCGGAGAGCGGGAGGCAGCACAGCTCAGGACGGAGGGCAGGAGGAGGAGCTGGCCAAATTTATCTTTTCAAGGGAGGTCCTAGCAACCAATCACGAGCTGGTTAATATGAAATGTCACTCCAACAGCCCCTGCCCTCTCTCATCTGTAAACGCACAGGTAGGACACTTTTCATGCTTGTGTGGGGGTGATGTTAAGGAAGCAGAGGATGCTGTTATGGGGGGGACACTGCTATGGGAGGGGAAGGGGCAGATGACACTGCTATGGGGGGGGGGGGGGGCAGGGGACACTTCTATGGGGGTGGAGGGCGGGGGCAGGGGACACTGCTATAGGTGGGAAGGGGACACTGATATAGGTGGGAAGGGGACACTGATATAGGTGGGAAGGGGACACTGCTATGGGAGGGGGGCAGGGGCACTGCTGCTATAGGTGGGAAGAGGACACTGCTATGGGAGGGGGGCAGGGGGCACTGCTATGGGGGTGAACGAGGAGCAAGGGACACTGCTATAGGGGGCAGGGGTGAGGACACTGCTATGGGGGTGGGGGGCTGATGACTGCCTTGGGGGGGCAGAGGACACTGCTATGGGGGGAAAGGGGGGGCAGAGGACACTGCTATGGGGGGAATGGCAGAGGACAGTGCTGTCAGGGGGAGAGGACATTGCCTTGGGGGGCAGGGGTGAGGACACTGGACAGTGCTGTCGGGGGGAGAGGACACCGCTATGGGGGGGGGGGGGAGGGGGGCCAGAAGTCACTGCTAATGGAGGAAAAGGGGGGGCACTACTGTGGTGGGGGGGGGGAGGGGGTGATGTGAAGACACTACTATGGGCAGGGCCAGCACCAGCAGAGCATTAACCTGCTTAGGCAGCCACTTTAGGGCTCCAGGGTAGGGGAGGGGGGTGGTAAAATCCAAACCACTTGCTGGGAATGCAGATTTTAGAATCTGCATTCCAATAATCCCCTTTTTCTTCCTGCAGCAGATGAAAGCCTGCAGCCTCCTCTTCCTCCAACCGGCATAAAGCAGCTCCAGTAGGAAAATCCAGGGGATCAGTTCCAGTAAATGCTTTCCCTCCGCAGCCCCTCCTGTCCTTGTTTTCCCTTTTTTTTTTTTCTCCTGCTCGGCCCCCCGTGTGCTCCCCTTTCAACAAAACTCCCCAACAGTGCTTCTAAAAAAAAAATACAAAATAAAATAGTAAAAATAAGAAAAAAATAAAATCATTAAAAAGAATAAAAATAAAAACTACTGATACTGTGCACTGCCCTACTGACACCAACCTCTGCCTTACTGACACCATCCACTACTACTGACTGACACTATCCACTACTACTGACTGACACTATCCACTTTTAAAGGTAGGCTAAGTTTATATTTTTTATTTTTATAGTAACTTTTGTTTGATTAAAGTTTTCTATACTTTTTAGTTAGGTCTTAATAGTTAATTTCTTTAAAAAAAAAAAAAAAAAAAAAAGTCGCTGAACCCCGGTGATCTTTGATGTTGTTCAGGTAGATCTCCACCTCACAAAGGTTGTCTATTCCAGATCTAAACTGCCACTAGATATCAGGATACTCCAGAAAAATGATAACGTTCTATACAAGACATAAAAAATATACATACAATGTAACAAAAATAAAGTGGGACATTGATAAATGGTACGCTGTGAGTGTATCGATCGAATTTGTTTGATCGGTTTAATTTCCTTTGGCGTCAATCAGTTTTGCGCATCCTCTTTCTGCAGGAGTTATTATGAAACAAACGATGTCGCCTCCGCCATCATCATCATCGAAGAAGCTTTTTCCAAACACCAGAATCTGGTTGCGATAGAAGATGTGAATATTGCAGCCGAGCTGTATATCTCCAACAACCAGTATGACAAAGCTCTGGAGGTACGTCTGTTCTGTCCTGAATCCCCTCCTACCCAGCTTCCCCCTTTTATCTGGGTCGTAATGGTCTAAAGCAGTGGTCTCCAAACTGCGGCCCTTTGTTTGCTTTTATCCAGCCCTTGGGGCATTGTTTCTCCCACTGACACCAACGATTGGGTTACTATTCCTCTCTTTGACACCAATGATGGGGCACTATTCCTCCCACTGACACCAATGATGGGACACTATTCCTCCCACTGACACCAATGATGGGACACTATTCCTCCACTGATACAATGATGACTATTCCTCCAACGGACACCAATGATGGGGCACTATTCCTCACTGACACCAATGATGGGACTGATACCAATGATGGGGCACTATTCCTCCCACTGATACCAATGATGGGGCACTATTCCTCCCACTGACACCAATGATGGGGCACTATTCCTCTCACTGACACAATGATGGGGCACTATTCCTCCCACTGACACCAATGATGGGGCACTATTCCTCCCACTGACACCAATGATGGGGCACTATTCCTCCCACTGACACCAATGATGGGGCACTATTCCTCCCACTGACACCAATGATGGGGCACTATTCCTCCCACTGATACCAATGATGGGGCACTATTCCTCCCACTGATACCAATGATGGGGCACTATTCCTCCACTGATACCAATGATGGGGCACTATTCCTCCCACTGATACCAATGATGGGGCACTATTCCTCCCACTGATACCAATGATGGGGCACTATTCCTCTCACTGATACCAATGATGGGGCACTATTCCTCCCACTGATACCAATGATGGGGCACTATTCCTCTACCACTGGGGCACTATTCCTCCCACTAATACCAATGATGGGGCACTATTCCTCCCACTGATACCAATGATGGGGCACTATTCCTCCCACTGACACCAATGATGGGGCACTATTCCTCTCACTGATACCAATGATGGGGCACTATTCCTCCCACTGACACCAATGATGGGGCACTATTCCTCTCACTGATACCAATGATGGGGCACTATTCCTCCCACTGATACCAATGATGGGGCACTATTCCTCCCACTAATACCAATGATGGGGCACTATTCCTCTCCACTGACACCAATGATGGGGCACTATTCCTCCCACTGATACCAATGATGGGGCACTATTCCTCCCACTGACACCAATGATGGGGCACTATTCCTCCCACTGATACAATGATGGGGCACTATTCCTCCCACTGATACCAATGATGGGGCACTATTCCTCCCACTGATACCAATGATGGGGCACTATTTCTCCACTGACACCAATGATGGGGCACTATTCCTTTCACTGATACTATTGATGGTGCACTATTCCTCCTGTGTTTACAAACAATCTTCCTCCCTGTCAGCTCGAGCACACTGCTTGTGATGGCTGTGCACAGTACAGCCATCCCGAGCAGTGTGCCTACAGTGAAAAACAGCCCACCCTGCCCCCTAGTACCTAGTAAAACACTCCCAGCACACAGTGCCATTAGTACAGTGTCAGTGCTGGTTTTTTAGCACTGATCACTGTATTTGTGTCACTGGAGATGTCGGTGACATCAAGTTGGTCCCCCCCCCAGTGTCAGAATGTCCGCCGTAGTCCCGCTAAAAGTCGCTGATCGCCGCCATTACTAGTGGGAAAAAAAACAAAACAATCCCATTATCTATACCGCCATTTGTAGACGCTATAACTTTCACGTAAACCAATGAATTTACACGTATTGAGATTGTTTTTTTTTTTTTTTTTTAGCAAAGACATGGAGCAGAATACATTTTGGCCTAAATTTATGAGGAAATCTGATTTTTAAATTTTTTTTTTTTTTTTTACTGGACACGTTTAATAGCAAAAAGTCCAAAATATAGTTTCTCTCAAAATTGTCGGTCTTATAGTGCAAAAAATAAAAAAGCACCGGCGAACAAATACCACCAAAAGAAAGCCCAATTCGTGGGGAAAAAAGGACGTACATTTCATTTGGGTGCGGCGTTGCATGACTGCGCAATTGTCAGTTAAAGTAACGCAGCGCCATAACATGAAAAATGGCCTGGTCAGGAAGGGGGGGGGGGGGGGGACTCCTTTGGAGGGCAAAGGGTTAAAGGTCACCTAAAAATCATCACATAGGGGACTTTGTGTCCCCTATGTGATAAAAAAAAAAAAAAGTTAAGAAATGAAAAAAAAAGTTGCACCCAAGCACGTCATATTCTCCCCGCCCCCAAAAAATGTTGAGGCCCCCACGTTTACATATATGCATGTACGAACGTAAACTGAAGCATCTGGGTCTCCTACGCGTGAAAACGTCGATTGCGATACACGTTACATATCGCCGCACACGCCGGCGCGAGATCGATTAATTCTAGCAGCAGACCCCCTCCATAACAATATAATGATGACCTGTAGGGGGCTTTTGAAGTGTCGCCTATAGAAAATAGAGGGTGCGGTCACCATTTCACGGGCGCACACAAATGTATGGTTTGACATGTTGGGTATCTGTTTACTCGGTGCAACCTCCTCTTTTATATTTTGGGCGTACACAAATGTAAGGTTTGACATGTTGGGTATCTGTTTACTCGGTGCAACCTCCTCTTTTATATTTTGGGCGTACACAAATGTAAGGTTTGACATGTTGGGTATCTGTTTATTCGGTGCAACCTCCTCTTTTATATTTTACCAAAAATGTGGGTAATTTATTGTATTCGTTTGCCCTAAAATTCACTCTAGTGTGTTTTTTGCTGAAATTCTGCGTTTCCGAGACCTTTGTGGGAACATCGTGGGACATAAAAAAAAATTGGAACTTCCGCTGTTTTATTCTCAAGGGTGTCTGCTTTCAGAAAATATGGGTTTTAGGGGTTTTAAGTCATCTTCAGGCCCAAAAGGATTTTTATATATGACTTTTTGTGGGTTTTGCACCGCAGTCAGACATCTAAATCCACCATTGAAGTACATAGACACGACCTCTGAACCTGCTGATGGTCTTCATAGAGCCTTCTACTAGACAACATAGCCTAGCCAATGCCTTCCTTGTTCAAAACAATGCAACCTGGTCACCAACCCGCCCCCACAACCTGATTGGACAACAGAGGAGAAGCAGCACACTGATGAGGTCATCATTCCATTCAGATCTTTGATTGATACAAAGCAGTACTCTATAGCTAGGAGGCTAATTTAAGCCCCTTGTTCAGGTGAGCTCATTCACACTTGTGCGACTTGTCATGCAACTTTCAGAAAATCTATCACATTTGGGGGTTTGGTAATCTTTAGTCCAAAAATTTTTATTTATTTTTTTGTGTGCAAAAATGCAAAACCAGCTCTGGCAGCGAAAAAGAGTTAAATTAACCCCTTGCCTACCGGGCACTTCTACCCCCTCCCTGCACAGGTCAGCTTTCAGCACTGTCGCACTTTGAATGACAGTTGCGCGGTCATGCAACACTGTACCCATATGACATTTTTATCATTTTTTTCACACAAATAGAGCTTTCTTTTGGTGGTATATAACCACTTGCCCTCCAGAGGATTTACCCCCCTTAATGACCACGCCTCTTTTTGCTACTCGGCGCTGCACTAATTCAACTGATAATTGCGCGGCGGTCATGCAATGCTGCACCCAAACAAAATTTACGTCCTTTTTTTCACACAAGTAGAGCTTTCTTTTGGTGTAATTTGATCACCTGTGCGCTTTTTATTTTTCACACTATAAACAAAAAAAGGCCAAAAATTTTGAAGAAAAACAATATTTTTTACTTTCAGCTATAAAAAAATATATAGTAAACTCAAAGTTGGTTATAAATTTAGGCCAAAATGTATTCTGCTCCATGTTTTTGGTAAAAAAAAATCCCAATAAGTGTATATTGATTGCTTTGTGTGAAAGTTATAGCGTCTACAAACTATGATATAAAAACTGCAATTTACGCCATTTTTCTGCTATACAGCGCTGCGCTAGTTTAACGGACAATTGCGCGGTCATGCAATACGGTACATAAATTAAATTTACATCCTTTTTTTCCCCACAAATTGAGCTTTCTTTAGGTGGTATTTGATCACCTGTGCGGTTTTTATTTTTTGCGCTATAAAAAAAAAAGGCTGACAATTTTGAGGAAAAAAAAAACAATATTTTGGACTTTTTGCTATAAAACATGTCCAGTAAAAAAAAAAATGCAAAAATTAAATTTAGTCATAAATTTCTGCCAAAATGCATTCTGTGAGACATGTCTTAAAAAAAAAACCAATACGTGTAAATTAATTGGTTTACGTGAAAGTTATAGCGTTTACAAATGGCGGGAAAGATAGTGTGATTTTTAGGTTTTTTTTTTTTTTATACTAATTATGGCGGCGATCGGCGACTTATGGCAGCAATCAGGGACTTATGGCGGGACTGCGGCGGACATTCTGACATTGGGGGGTACTGACTTGGGGTCACTGACATCCCCAAAAACACTAATACAGTGATCAGTGCAAAAAAAAAAAAAAACACTGACACTGTACTAATGGCAATGGGGAGGAAGGGGTTAACTTTATTTTGCAGGGAAGGGTTATAGGAGTGAGGGGAGTGTTTTACTAGGGGGCGGGGGGTGTGTACTGGGCGGGACAAGGCTGATCGAGAAAGAGAAACTATTCTTTCTCGATCAGCTCATCCTCGAGCTGAGAAGGAAGTGACAGACAGCACAGCTACTGCAGCTGTGCTCTTTGTCACTGTTTGCTGCCGATCGCCGGGAAACAGCCGCTAAGGAGCTGACATCTGCGGTGGTGATCGGCGGGACAGATAGGGCGGCGGCGCGCGCCCCCTATTTGTTTACAAAACATACGTTTTAAAACGTGGTTTTTGCCTGCGAGTGCCGCCCTGCCTCCGTATATGTACAGTGGCTGGGCGGCATGTAGTTAATCGCCGCTGGGGTTTTTTTTTTTTTTTTGCGCTATGAACAAACAGCAAAAAATTTGAAAAAAAAAAAGTTTTTCTTTGTTTCTATTATAAAATTTTGCAAGCAGGTAATTTTTC